TTTCTTAATAAATACTCAGAGAAGCATGGCTTGGGGCCTTTAGTCATGGGCACTGTTGGCCCCCTGTTTTTCACACTCTCTGTTCTATATCATTCCTGATAGTCTGTCTCATTATTAATAATTATAAAAATACTTTACCCTCAGTCTGCAACAGGGATGTTGGTAATTGGGGTGAGGCTGGCAGAGGTGGGCAAAGGCCCGGGGCAAACCTGTCTTTAGGGACCCGTGCCTGGGCAACCTTTCCCCTCTTACCCAGCCCCTCATGTCTTTAGGGAGCCGGGCCTGGGCAACCTTTCCCCTCTTACCCAGCCCCTCCTCTCTTGCTCTTACAGATGCGCCCTAAAGTCCTGTGGCACCTCCTTCGCCGGTACATGGCCTCTCGGCTCCAGTCCCTGCGGCTGGGCGGCTACCTGTTCTCTGGCTCCCAGGCGCCTCAGCTGTCACCAGCCCTGATGAGGGCTTTGGGTCAGAAGTGCCCTAACCTGAAGCGCCTCTGCCTGCACGTGGCTGACCTGACCATAGTGCCCATCACCAGCCTGCCCTGCACCCTGCAGACCCTGGAGCTGCACAGCTGCGAGATCTCCATGAGCTGGCTCATTGACAAGCAGGACCCCACGGTATTGCCCTTGCTCGAGTGCATTGTGCTGGACCGTGTCCCTGCCTTCTATGACGATCACCTGCAGGGCCTGAAGCGCTTCCGGGCCCTGCGCTCGCTTGTGCTAGGCGGCACCTACCGTGTGACCGAGACAGGGCTGGATGCAAGCCTGCAGGAGATGAACTACCTGCAGAGGCTGGAGGTGCTGGGCTGCACCCTCTCAGCTGACAGCACCTTCCTGGCCATCAGCCGCCACCTCCGAGATATACGCAAGATCCGAGTGTCCGCGAGGGGCCTCTCTGCCCCCGGCCTGGCGGTCCTGGAGGGAATGCCGACCCTTGAGAGTCTGTGCCTGCTGGGCCCACTCGTCACTCCGGAAATGCCCTCTCCAGAAGAAATCCTTGCCACCTGCCGCACCATGCCCAAGCTCAGAGTCCTTGAGCTTCAAGGACTGGGCTGGGAGGGTCAGGAGGCTGAGAGAATCCTGTGTAAGGGGCTGCCCCACTGCATGGTCATTGTCAGGCCCAGCCCGAAAGAGTCCATGGACTGGTGGATGTGATGGCACGGTTTGCTCCTTGGACCCAGGGCTCTGGCCCTCCCCACTTTCCATGGTTGCCTTGAACAAGCATCTTGATGGTCATCAGACTGAGACTTGAGGTGACTGAAGGCCCTATAAAGCCAACAAGGGTTTCCTTTGTTGTTTGTCAGCCAGTGGGCTCGGTGCCATCAACCAGCCTCTCTGAGGCCCAGTTCCCACAGCTGGAAATGTGGACTTCCATAGCTACCTCATGGTGACTGCAAAGCCCTGTGCTTTGATAGCCCTCAGCCCTGAGAAGATCCTAGATGGAGGGTGCTCTCAGGGTTGTCCTCAGGAACGATGGATGTGGAAGGGCCAGGTCGGGTGTGTTAGGGGGCCCTGAGGAGCCCCTCCTCGGAAGGCCTGGGATTGACTGTGCCTGGAAACGTCCATGCCCACACGCCATTTCTATCTCTACACGCACGTTGCAGGAGTACTACTAAAACTTGCAGTTTGATTATCAGTGTTTATAAAAGTTCTGAGCTTTATTTTATGTCTTATATTTTCCAAGTTTTTCACATGTATTATTTTGCTATTAAAGAAAAAGAATGACTTTTTTCCAAAGCAGTGTGCGTTTTATTCATTTGATACATGCTTATTGAGAACATGCTATTTTATTAGCAGTGCTCACTTTATCATTTGTGTCATGTTTATGGAGCACACTGCTCTTGGCCATCACACAGCCAGGCCACTAGTGACTCAAACAGAAAAGACCTTGGCCTGGTAGAACTCGGAGAGGAGGGACCTAGCCAAGCAGTTAGCCCTAGAATCATGGTGAGGTGAGAAGGGCAGGTTTCTCTGAGCTGAGCCCTGAGAAGAGACAGCCAGGTGGACAGCTGAAGAACACAAAGACAGACTCCTGAGGGGAGAAGGAGCGTGGTGTTTTCCTGGAACAGAAACAGTGGCGGTGTGGCAGGGGGAGCAGAAGCAGGTGAGCATGGAGAGAGGATGGGGTTGGGTCGGGCAGGGCCTTGTAGGTGCCTCAGCGATTCGTTTTTGTGGCGTCTGCGCCACTTGAAAGACACAGGTGTCAGATAAAGATCATGACGTTGGTGCAGAGTCGAGCTGGGTCAGAGGGCGTGCATGGCCCAGTCCTGCCTGGGCTTCCTGTGTGGCCCCTCTGTGTAGGCAGAGTCATGAGGGAAAAGGGCCGAGCTGGGTGTTCCTGGTCTGCCTCCCAGCTCAGCCCTCAGGGAGACTGCCCAGGCTGACCATTGTGGAGTGGCCTGTCCTTTCAGCTGTCTTCAGGGATACCGACCTCTGGGGTGGGAGTGCTCCCTGATGTGGCCAGGGTTCAGGTTTAAAGGTCCAGTGCTGTGACCCCACTGAACAGCTCCAGCCCAGAGCACTAGATCCAGGTGGGGCTTGAGAAGTTGAGGAATGCAGAGGTGGCAGCAGTAGGGAGCTTTAGTGGTAAGAAACTGCGCTGCAGTCCCAAAGGCATGCAGTTCAAATCCAGCAGCTGCTCTGCAGGAGGGTGGGCACTGTCCTATGTGATTAACTAATTGTGAAAACTCACTGAAACGTCAGCTGTGAGTCGGTTCTGACTCAGTGGAATGCAACATCAACAGGGCCAGGGGAAAACGAAATCTGCAATGCTGGTGGAAGGAGTTCTGGTGGCTGCTAGCTGTGGAGTCGAGCTACCAAACCAGCTGCTCCTCAGGAGAAAGATGGACAGTCTCCCATACAATTTACAGCCTCTGAAAACCTGCTGGAGGCAACAGTACAGACAAGCTTTCCCCTTCCTTTCTGCCTTTGCAATAGAAACAGAGTAGCAGTATGAATGGCACTGGATGAGAGGTAAATGCTTAACACGGCCTCAGCATCTGCCTGTTTCTGTGGTATAGTAAGTAGACAATTGCACTGCAAACCCAACGGCTACACTCCACGACTGACTTCTTGGGAGGGAGATGGACGATCTCCTCCCATGTGATTTGTTGTTAAGTACCTTTGAGTCGATTCATAACGATCTTATGAACAAAAGACCTGCACACTTGTATAGCTTTCATCCTTTCTCCAAGTTCACATATATTTACGGCCTCAGAAAGCCAGGGATGCATCACCCATGAGTTGGTTCTGATTGGACAGATAAGAGTTTTTGTTTTAAAATCCATCATAGCTGGTGTCAAGGTACCAACAAAACTTATTCAGAAAATTTGTCCTTTGCTCTCACCAGCTGCCACAAGCTGACGCCTCTCATAATAGGGACTTTCCTGGTAAGAAGGACTTTCTTCTCGGACTCCCCTTTGTGGGTTACTCGGTCTTCCTTAGTGACCCTTCCCTGGTCCTTGTTCTGTGGGGTTCTAGGATCTCAGGAAGAACTCCTCCACTCTAGTGATTCCTGTTCCCCATCCCAAAACACAGCCTTCTTCCAGACAGGGAATGGAGGCCTTGGTGGAAATGAAAGCTAATCCGAGTCGTTTAGTGCTGTTGACTAGAGTTACCCTGTGAGTTGTAGATTGGAACTTTGTCTTAGCTCGAGTGACATCCTCACAATCTCTGTTGTGCTCAAACCCATTCTTTTTTCTTATTTTTTTAAAAGTGTGTGTGTGTGTGTGTGTGTGCGTGTGTGTGTGTGTATCGTCAAATTAGATCTGACCAGTACAGGAGGAGATTGTCCCGCCTTCAGCAGAGCATCTGTTGGATTCAAACTGCACACTTCTGGGATTGCAGTGCAGCTTCTTGCCACTAGGCCACCAGAGCTTGCCTCAAACCCATTCTTGTAGTCACATTGTCAGTCCATCTTGTTGAGAGTTGTTGAGGGTCTTCCTTTTACTGACCCTCCAACCTTTTTTCAGCATGATTCCTTTTCCCAAGCACTGGACTCTAAAACACATGCCTCAAATTTTTGAGACAAAGTTTCACCACCTCTAAGGAGAACCTCCTTTCCACTTCTTCTGAGACACTCTTATTTTGGTAGTCCATGGAATATTCAGTACTCCTATCCAACGCCGCAATTCACGGCCATCAATTCTTCTTCTCTCAACCCTTATTCATTGTCCAATGTTGAGATGCATAGCAAGTGATTCAAAAGACCATGGTTTGGATCAGGTGCCCCTTAATCTTTAATTGACATTTCCATCCTCTAGTTAAAAAAATGTTTTAAAAAAGTAAAGAAAATGTTCCTGGGAAGAAAAATCTTTCACAGATTTTTATCTCCAGTTTATGGCTGGTAAATATGTGTTCCTCCCCGCCTCCCAAAAAATATGTGTTTCCACAAACTGAGTCAGAATATCAGAATAGTTTTACATAATAATGGCAGACTTTTTTGTTTTATATTGCTTTGCTTACAAAGTTCGTATACATTGTGTTTCACACTATTCCTCATTCATCTTGTGTTTCATACAATCATTTCCACGCATTATGTTTTATAAAATGAATCACTATTGGATCTTGTCCATCATTACTTTGTCTTTTCAGGTCCTCGCCAAACCCTTCTCATTTCCTGCACCCGCTCCCTCCACCCACCAAATTGTGCAATCCTGTAGGTTTGTCGCTACCCTTCCTCACCTCTCTGCTCTCACCCCTTCCCCCCTTGGATCACCATACATGTTTTACTAGTTATCCTTCTACGTTTACAATAATGGTCTTATGCAGTATTTGTCCCTGTGAGACTGAGATATTTCACTCAGCATAATGTTCTTCAGTCCCTCCGATGTTATTTAGTATTTTTTTTAAATCTTTGCTTCTGATTGTTACAGTTTTTTGAAGAACAATTCACACAGTCAACTATAAGATGTAGCTCTGTGTGTTCTAGGAAATAATCTGATTAATGTTTACTCCAAGGAGAAACTTGTTTTCACCCTCTCCAAGACAGACCTGTTTGTTTTCTTGGTGGTCCATGGTATGTTCAAGACTCTTCTCCACAACTCAAGGCATCAATTCTCCTGTCATCTTTGGTTATTATACAGCTCTCTGATGTATAGCAAGTAATTGCAAAGGCCATGGACTGGATCAGGCACACCTTAGTCTCTAGACTGATGTCATTGCTTCTCCGTGCTCTGGGAAGGTCCCTGACAGCAGATTTACCTATTGCAATTTGTCTTTTGATTTCCTGACTGCTGGTCCCAAGAGTGTTGATTGTGTAGTCAGGCAAGCTGTAACTCTTAACAACCTCAATCTCTGAGCTCCATCCATCATGGGGCGGCCAATTGGCCCAGTGGTGATAAGTGAAGGAAAAGGCAAGATACAAGAAGGCAATGCTCAGACATTGTGGGAATCGTAATTGATGTTATAAAGCAAAACACATGTGAATGATTGAATGAAAAACCAATATGCTTTGTTAACTTTCACTTCTATCACAAAGTTAAATAATA